CATCTGGTTGGCCGCTGGGGGAACAGAATGATGCATTGGATGGGCCTTTGGTCTGATCCAGTGTAGTTTTCCTTGCAGGCATATGTGCAATCTTTTAATTCCTCAGAACTCTTCATCAGGCTAGATACTGAGAAAACTATCAAACACTCCCCACCCCGGTTCTCACTGTATCACTGTAACCACCTACAATTTTTCTGCATCAGAACTGACTGAATAAGTCAATCATACCCAGTACTAAGATGCATCAGAATTATACACTTGCAATAGAGGCATATGAAAAAAGGGCCAGACTAGAATTGTGCTGTTTGCTCACTTCTGCTACCTGAAAATGCCAAGCACTGATCCTGGAAACTTCTATGCAGAAAGTTTGTGCTCTGCCTCTGGGATACCACCCCCTTTCTTCTTTTGCTGGGTTATAAGTTGGCATAATGAACACATTTAACTGCTAATATTCACATGAGAAGGCCGTATTCTCTGCATTCCAGACTGTAATGTGCACCTCTTGCTTCAAAATCAGGAGTATATTCTCTTATCTGCTTCCACAATTGTGGCCATAAATATGTTACCAGAGCTATCAAATGTCACAGTGCAATCCGCTTGGCAGGTTCTTCCTTATTACCCCCTTTACTGCTCTTTCCCTTTTGATGGTTAGGAGCAATTTGCTCTCACAACAGAGTGTAAGTTTTTTGTCTTCAACAAAGGAAGCACTTAACTACCTGAAACATTTCAGTGATGGATGACCGGGGTGATGTCTGGAAGCTACAATAGATGTTGCCTCTTGCAATGGAATTGCCTTCCACAGCCATTTGAAGGATGCACTTGTTAATGAAACGGCTGAAGAAGTGGCATATTTCTCACCTCTAATAGGTAGCTGGCTAGGTGATAGACACAGAAGTGAATTACTAATTACACGCTGCATTTTCTAAACATCCTTTCAGGATATTCAAACCTGGGTCTACTGGGAAATCCATGGCAGCTTTGCCCTACTACTCAATTCTTCAGTGCAGCTAGCCCAACAGAAACTATTCTAATACAAAAAGTCTGTTTCTTTATAAGGCAATCCAACGAGTTCAAGGCAGACCAGCAGTTTGAACCAGGGTAAGAGGCAGAGTTTCCCCAAAGAAGTTGCTTGGATGTATGTTCCACTGAAGCCTAGGGGGCTCACTTCTGGTCAATCCATGTACATGTTGCAGCAAGCATCTGTAAAGAGCTGTGGGCAGTCGCAGGGCAGTCCTCTCTTGGATTGCTCTCGGCCTAGTATACATAGTAGGGAATCTAGATAAGCCAGTGTGCTGCTGAGATGAATGGGCATGGGCTCCAGAGAGCAGAAGTCAAGTCTTTTGTGTTGCCCATTTCAGTGCATTTATTCTTAGTAGTATTAGAATACTACTAAGTATTCCTAACACGGAATACAACCCTCTGACATCAGGGTCATTGGTTGGTCTTATCAAGACATCTTATCAAGATTTCTGCATGGCCTACCTTACAGCAGGTAGTCATGTCAGGTGGAAGAGATAGGGTATCTGTTAACCCACCAACCTTCCCCTGTTGGTATGTGGGCAATTTTCACGTCCTCCCTGTTGATATGGGTGAAAATTGCAACCTGGGTGTCTCTAGCTTTTAACTCTAATGCCAAGAATTAAAATTAAAGGACGCCATGAGCCCATCATGCTCTGATACCTGTCTGGTTTCACACGGTCACACTGCCTAGTATACAGAGATCAATTATTTGCCCTCTCTACTTTTTTAAACTGAAGGGCAGTGGAGCTGGAAAATGTGTTGTTGGCATAAGAAGAACAGGTCTAAAAAGCCATCATACCCAAACCCTACTGCTGCTCTCCCACATTTGGGATCCACTGTCATGCTTTCTCTGACCAGGAAGGTTCAGTAACAACTAACCATCAGTGATAGACATGTCCTCCATAAATTTGTCCAGTAACCTTTCACAACCATTTAAGCCCTGAGCCATCTCTTTGTACCAAGGAATGCCAGAAATGTGTGTTCTGTGAAGTAGTGCTTCCTTTTGTCTGTCATTGATCTACTGTCAAATTCATTGGAAGACTTTGGGTTCTTGGGCAGAACCTCCCCAGCTTGGTTAATGTTATAAATCCAGCTTTGTAAATAAGCCCATCAAATGATGAGTCTTCTGGCAGCTAACAGAAGAAAACTTTCATTTGTATGCTGGGTGCTCTTCTAGCAACCCACTTGGCTTTTATGCCATGTGTGACAGTGGTCTATCCCTTTTCCACCAACCGCTCACTCACCTGTATACAATTCCTGGATGGTGCTTAATGACAAGGTTGTTATAAAACATGTTCACAGTATTTTCTCTGAACAAATGGTGTAATTCAGAATGCAGCTATTCACCGATTTCAGTAGGGTTTACTCCATGTGGAAACAGGATTGCAGCCTAACAAGACCCAGGTACCTTAGTCTTTTTCTCATAGGAAGAAGTGCTTCAGTTCCTTGGTCATTCTGGGTCCCTCTTTCAGCACCTTTTCCATCTTTGAAATATGGTGGCCCAAATGCTTGCAAATAATCTTTAGAGACGTTTCATGCCCTTTCCTCCAAGCAAGTAACAGATTCATAATCATTCTATTCCCAGCATGATTTCTATTTTTCACAGCTACTTACTGAGTGGTGGCTTTCACTGAGCTGTCTACTTCAACTTCAAGACAGTTTCCTTGGCGGACCTTACTCAGACAGACTTTATGGCAGTTTCACCCCAATGTGCATCCCATTATGCTTATATTAAACTGCATCTGCTGTTTTGTTGGCCATTCACTCAGTCCCACAAGACCTTATTGTAGTCTGCCTGGGCTTCCAATGTATCCCAAATGACTTGGTGCCACCCACAAACACGATTGCGTCATTGTTCACCCTTGCCTTCAAATCAAGAGCAAGTCAAATATCACAAGTCTCAGTACAGACCTTTGTGGGGATCCCACTGGCCACCTTCTGTCATGAAAGCTGACCATTATGCCCAGCCCTCTGTTCTTGAGCTGGCTAGTAATCCATAAGAGGCCACATCCTTTCCTTACACAGCTTCCACAATTACTTCGCAGTCTTCGACAAATGAATTTGTAAAAGGCTTTTCTTAAAAGTCCATGTCTCTTATTCAATTGCTTGCAAATAATATTTGAAGATACCTCATGCCATTCCCTCCAGCAAGTAATTGCAGCATTGCCAGGAGGCCATTTTGATGAGGAGAAATGGCAGGGGAAGAAGGGCAGATCTCCCTTTTGTTAGAGCCGCCACCCTGCCCAAATCTGGAGGTTTCTACAGCTGAAGTTTAGCAAAAACAATCAAACAGCAGCAAAAAACACATCAGGAGACTTAATCACAGACCTGCTGCATTATGTGTAGTTTTGGCAAGTTCACCTCTTAAGTGATGATTTCATACCCCTTACAAAGAACCACACTTCCTATTTCCTTAAATCAGAATGTTCTCTAGCTGTGCCTCCTAAGGAAGCTCTTCCACAGCTCATTGGAAGGGTTGGTTATACCCTGGCACAACCTGGCCAGGTCAGCTCTGCTATAGCCAGTGCTACTGTCTGAATTGATTCCCCCCAGATATGTTGGGCTATAGCTCCTGTTCTCCTCAGACAACACACTCGTGGGATGAATGAGCCAGGAATGATAAGAGTTTGTAGTCAAGCACATTTGAAGAGCAACAGTTTGGGGAAACCTAGGTAGATTGGTATGCATGTGTGGATCCATGCACACTATGTTTTTTGTTTTTAAACATAAATATAGCATGGAAGTCAACAGAGTGACACCCGTGGTCCTTTATTTACATCAAATAAGCTATTGGTAATATCATTGATAAAAAACCTGTGGAAACAGCAGCACTCCATGTGGCATCAGCAAGTTATTGGCCAAGAACTGAGGTTTGCCCCAAGTGATCCCATCACTTTAAGAGGGTCTCTGCAGTAAAACAGGTCAAACAAGCCTGCAAAGGACTCGGGGGGGGGGTGTTTTAGGGGACGGGGAGAGAACCATTTCCCTTGGAAAACAGCTACACAGGGATAGGGGCTCTGCAATTTTAGAGGAGGGAAAAACCTTATAATACTTGCAAGTAAATATTTTTTTTAACTTCTGAGCTAAAGGACAACCACCCCCATTTTAACGTAAGGAAACTAGAGAGCTTTTACAGTAGCAGATCGTCATAAAATTTATTGAGTCTGCAATAAACCTGAGCAGAGCTACTGTGCTCTCAGCCACAGCAACTATTAAGGTAGCTACCCAGTGTTTGGAATGCAGTTTACCCATTCACAAACCACCAAAAACACAAGCATCTCTCTCTCAATATACATAGATATATATGAATGTGATTTGATTTGTAATGATCAGGGTTTATTCAATTTCTTGATTTTTTAAGTGGGAAACAGCAGTATTGGAGCCTTCATCCAAGCCACACACATTTCTCTCCATTCCCCACCTTTCAGGTTTAAATAAATGCCATCTCTTAAATAAAGTGGAACGAAGGGAGGAGTTTTATTAGGTAAGCAGTGTTAAACGACGATGGGGAAAGAGCATATGCATTTCTAAGGGTAAGGAGTGCCTCTCAATAGGAAGGGCTCCTCCAAGAAAGAAATTGCACTGTCATATTTAGCTGATCCTTCCCTTCTCCCCACACTGGCAAATCCAGGAAATCCTCCATGCATTTCAGGCTGCATACCTATTTCCCAAAATATTTATTTTAGACAGGATCTGGCTGAGGAGGGCATTTCATCTACATACTTAGCATCTATCAGAACAGGCTGGAGGGATGGAGTGGGGAAGTATAAAGCCACGTAAACACACACCTACAGAATAGAAGAAGGAAATTAGCAATAGTGTCATTTGTACAGGCATTAGCAAATTAAAAAAAAAATCTGTGCCTTTGGGGGCAGCATCACATTTCATTGAACCAATCCTTTTATGTATCAATTCCCCTTTCTCATTTGTTTTGCCAACTAAGGCAGAGCCAGCTGACAAAACAGATGCCCGCCCTTGCATTAGACCATAGTCATCACTTTGAGAGAGGCAGGCTGGAATCTCCGAATCTTCTTCTTGAGGGCCTTTGAAGCTTTGATGCGGCAGAGTTTGGGCACGGGTGGAAGAGGCTTGGATGAGGCTTGTGCCGAAGCCGGTGGCCTGACAGAAGTGTCGGGCCACACCAGGCCACGCTCCTCGGCCTCATCGTCATAGTCAAGAGTCAGGTTGCTGCCATGGCTGCTGCCCTCCGAATCACTCTCACTGGACTCGCTGTCCCCGAAGCGGTTGGCTGTGTAGTCGCTGACCTCCCCTTCGCTTGTCTCAGCAATGGTGGAGTGGAAAAGCGATGCGCATTCCGCCGAGTACTCGGAGTGGTCTGACTCACTTCTGGCATACGTTCCGGAACGCGAAGGGTGGCGGCTCTTGGAACGGGCCATTGTCACAGCACGCATGGCCCCCGCTCTCTTTGCCGGCTGCCTCAGCGGCCCCAAGGCAAAGCCGCTAGAAAGGCTGGCAACCTGGGTTTTGGCTGAGATTTCCACCGTGGACTGCCACCTGCGATGCTTTTTCTTGCTGGACGCATCTATGTAGGCCGCTTCGAGGGAGTACAGGGTGTTAGTGGATGCCTGGTACAGTTCAGGCCCAGAGGGCCCCCGAGGGATTCGGAACGGTGCAGGATACAGGCTGGACTCCGAGCAAGACCTGCCTGTGCTTTCCCCCGCAAAGGTGGGCCTCCTGTTAAGTTTCCTTCCCCGGAACTGTCTCTGAGGCAGACTCCACTCCACAGGAAGCTTGGCAGCAACGCTGTGGGCTCCCCTGGGCTTTTCCACATGAAACATCTGCTTGGTGGGCCTCAGTGTCTTCTCACTGTTCCTCCTCTTTACCTTCATGGACTTCATTTTAGAGTTTGCAAACCTTACCCTGACCTGATGGGATTCTGCAGGGACAAACCTGGCGTGAACAAATTCCCCCTGCGGGCTGAGCCCAGGCCCTCCTGCCTTTACCCCGATGGCAGGTTTGGGGTGGGCTTTCTTGACTGGGGCAACGTGAGCGTGTGGGGAGCTGAGGCTGGACTCTTCTGTTCCAAGCGGAGAGCTGGAAGAGCTGCGTTCCAGGCTGCTTCCCCCAGTTTCTGTCAGCAGAGCCTCCCTCACAGTTGACTTGGCAGGACAGCAGCCGTTCGCAGCCAGTGCCGGCTCTGCCTGACCAGACCCCGCGGTCCCCTGCTGTTTGGCACATTCCCCTTCAGGCATCTCCCTGTGCGGCTTCCCTTCCTCTTTGTGACTATGCGGCCAGCTCTCTTGTTTTTCCAGCTGGCTGCTGCTGTTAATTTTCACTCCACCAGCACTGGGGGTTATAATGAGTCTCTGGAGCATTGTGAAGTGTTGGCTCCTTGTTGGGCACCTCTCGCGGCTGTCTGTCTGACGGCTTCCTCTGTGGCGTGTCAGCTGGAGCAGTTTGTTGATGTAACCCCCTGGCCTGGACTCGGTGACTGGCCGAGTCCTAATCAAACTGGGTCCGAGGGCCCCAGGGGCCATTTTCTTAGGCAAAGCACAGCCCTCCCCCTTCGACAGTTGCCCTGCCAAAGAAAAAAGCGGACTCTGCAGAGCAACAGCGTGGAGGGGGCTGGGGTAGGGGTACACATCATTTCCACTCTTTGAGACCAAGTCACTCTGGTATTTGGGATCCATGCAGCAGAACTGGAATTCTCCCAGACAAAAAGCAGGAAAGGATTTGGGGTCAGTCTCTTTAGGAAATCCTGCATCTGCCACGGCCAGTCGTTCAAGGTCACCTGGTTAGTGAACAGAATAAAAAAAGAATGAAAATTAAGTCACCATCAATATGAAAACACAGGCCTAAAAAGACTAAATTCTATCCCCCCCCCCCGCCCCCCGGACAATGTGGGTTCTCATGTTTTAGTCACAGTGGAGTTTACAGGTGCTAAATTTTATTTAATGCATTTCCTTAGCCGTAAAGGTCATTCCAGTCCTTTCAATAAAACATCCAAAGATGGGCTTATGCACATCACCAGTGGCAAGTTCTGTACGCTCAGCATAACCCATGGAACACCATGGAGTGCCTTCCACCAGTACAAATATTGTAGCACATAGCAATCAGACCTTTCAGAAACCAATGAAACTGAATGCCACACTTGCATCTAAGATTTTTTCTTATATTTTAGCCAGAAAATGGATTTTTATTATTTCCAGTGTCCTGAACTGAGGGGTCTTGAAGGCTCCACATTGTCTTTGACTTTGCCCTTTGGAGAAGGTGAAGCACTTTGAAATGGGGGATCCATCAGCAGCCGGTTACACATGCCCTTTGCCTTCCTCAAAGATGAGGGGCACACAGAATTGGTTTCCCAGACACATGTGTGCAAATGGGTTTATGGGGGGGGGGGGGAAGAGAGAGAAAGTAGTGGTGGTACTCTGCTAGCACATCATCTCAGAGATCTTTCCCTGACATAAATGTGGCACTCTGGCCAAGAGAGATTCTACCATTGCTACAGAACTTGCATACATGGAGGTTAGATGTGGGCTGTGAATTAAAGCATCATATTAGGGAAGCATCTGCTGCTTCCATGCCATTAGAGCTCAGGAGGTCCAGCTCCACAAGTTAGACCTGCAACAGAGCAGACCATATTTCTGAATGGATCGGCCTAAGTTTGACTACATAACGCTCCTCTCAGTTACCAGCACTACAACTATGGGAATATTCCTCACGGAAAAGCCAGTCCAACCATTATATCAGACCTTCAAGTTTATCACATGCCCTTTCATTACACTGAGGATCACACTTGGACTGCTGTATGCCAGGCAGAAATTCAACAGGACAGTGCTTCATCACTGCACTGTCATACTAGGAAAGGCTGAAACACTTGCATTTCTGTCCGCTGTATATATTTTAAAGGTGTAGAGTCACAGTTGCTCTTCCTACCTACAGGTTGTATTGATCAGCAAAATAACTGTGCAGCTTTTCTATCATACAATCCAGGATTGCCTGGATATTGTTGTTTTCCTTCTTTGGGAGGCACGGCCAAAGGATCGTATGCACAATAGAAGGCAAAGGAGAGCCAGACAATAAAAGTACTGCCACGGCCATGCAGTTTCAATTTTCTAATGACACAGGAACACTGTTGCTCCCTGTGTATTGTGCCAACCAACTCCAACTTGGTGCCTTCACGATGTTTTGAATGACAGCTTCAACCATCTCAGGTTATTGGTCGAATCAGCTGGGGAAAATGGGAGTTACAGCCCAAAAATATCTGGATGGCACCACATTGATCATGACTATTTCTAAAGTTTCAACATTAGAGAATTTACCTGTGGAAACTGGTCTTGGCCTGGCCCTGGTGGGAGTCCCTGAAGCATCAGGGATGTGTTTGATTTGGCATCCGTCAGTGCTATAGGCTTCCTGTTGCTGGAAGTGGTTATGTACTGTAGTCTCATCTGCAGATTTGGGGCGGTAATCGAAGATGCTGATGTGGCTTTTGGGGTGCTGAGAACCTGGCAGCAGGCTGGCATGGGAGGAAGAGATGGATTCACTGAAGACAGAGGTGCAGGAATTGGACAAGGAGCAGGAGCCACCATCACTCAGATCATAAAAGCCTACAGAGGTCAGAGAAACAAAAGCACATCTTGTTTATACACAACAATAAGATGCATCATGCAGGGCCCAACCAAAGCATCCCAACATCTTCTAATTCACGGAAGAGGTGGTTTTGCGGAAATATAGATTTCCATTATTTTTGGGCATAATCTAATGCATGTTTAGACAGAAACAAATACCTAGAGCTCCCAGCCTGCCATGCTTGTTCCAGCATGTTGGGACTTGTATAACCCTTTTCTGTCCAAATATGCACAGGTCTGAACCACCAATGGCACCAATCACCCATATACAGGCCCCTCAAGAAGAAATAACCCAGGGTGGTATAGGGGTTAAGAGCACAGGACTGGGACTCAGGCAATTGATCTGGGTTCTAGTCCCCGCTCAGCCATGGAGCCAACTGGGAGACTTTGGGCCAGTCACAGACTCTCAGCCCAACCTACTCACAGGGTTCTTGTTGTGGAAATAAGATTGAGAGCAGGAAGAAGGAAATTGTGTAAGCCACTTTGAGTTCTTAAGTAAAAGGTGGGGTAGAAATCTAATAAATAAATGAACTCAACAAACACTATGCAACACCTGCCATTGTTATGCCTACCTATATTTTGATGAGACACAAAACCAGGGTGGTTTTTCTGATTCTAGCAAGGATGAAGACAGCATGATACAAAAAGCATATAGAAGGCATAAAACCAATGGGTAGCACTCAACAATTTAGACACTAGCCCTTAGCTGAAAATTAAGGGGAAACTAAATCTCCATAATCAAAGTCAGAGGAATAATTAAATGAGACTATTGTACAGAAAATGTCTCCCCCTTTTACAACATACCTTAATGGAGATTTTACAGAATAGCACACACTGAGAGCTCAGTCTTATTTTTGGAAGGGTGCTATAACTCAAAAGATTTAAAGAAATGAAAGCAGAAACTTAATAGTAGCAATCATGTTATACACTGAAACTGTTAATCAATTGTCTCATCCCAGCATCTCTCAACTTCTTACAGTATCTACCACAAAGTACTTTATATAGGCTCTGACTGTTCACATACACATTTTTGTAGTTACAACAAAACAAAATATTTCAAAAATCAGCCAATTACCTGAACTGGGTCTGCTGTCGCTGTCCAGGTACTCAATGGATGTTTTGCCCACATCCAACTTCAGTTCACTAATTTGCTGGTCCAGCTGATCCAGGTGGCTTTTCAGGCCAACATCTTGTCTCCGAAGACGAGACTGTTAGCAATGGAAGAGGAAAAGGGACAAGTTCAGAGAAGTTCTAAGGGCCAGAATCTTTTTAGCCATTTGCAGGGGCCAAGTTGGTACTGGACGGGATGGCACGCATGAAGCGGCACTAAAGAAAGCTTCATACACATAGAGTGAGCAGTGCAAAGCTCGTAACACTAGACAAAAGTGCCAGACCACTTTGGAACAGGGCAACAAACCAACTTGGTTGATAGCACAGCATGACTACCACCATCTTTGTAGCTACAGGATTCAATTTTATTTATTGTTATTATTTATTTAAATTTATATATTTATGTAACTATGCACTAAGGAAGGTAGAAGAAAGTCCTACAACTCCTTGTACGCTGGTAGTTGTAGGGAATGTTTCCTGTTTAACTGTGCACCGATTGCTCCCTTAAAATTGTTTTTCTTGTCTAAACTCTGGCCTTGAGCACAAGCCCCAAATTCCTGCTAAATGACACATTTGCAAATATAGGCTTGGGTCTTAAGAATCACATCATGAGCTTCTACATGCTCAGTAAGGCTTCTGAGGCCAGAATTAGGCCTTATCAAGTATAAGTAGCTGCCACAAACAAAAGCCAACAGGCAGCCCCGTTTTTCTGCTCCCCATCACAGCATATCAGATGATACAAATGTGTGGTGTCGAATCAATTCCACCAGGAGAAATGGAGCAGGGGGATGGATTCCCCATCCCATTTTCCATTCATTCCCCAGCAAGCCCACAAAATCTGCTCCAGGTTTTTAGCAGCAGATTTCCAGGCAGCATAGAGGTCTGCAAGGATGGAGAAGAGAGGGTGGAAGCCCTGCACTGGGAAATCTGAGCTTGTACGGATCAAATCATATTTTGTGCTATCTGAGCTCATCACGGAGAGAGTGTCAGTGGAACCTGGGGCCACTGCTACTTCAGCCACTTTCTGCATCATGTCTAAGCCTGTCTAGGGCCATCTGGACTTCCGCGCAGCCTCACAAGCCCTATCAAAAACAAAGGGCTCAAGCTTATGCGTGTTTAGACAGGAAAACAGTCTGATACATGCAATCCAATTTGGAGCAAAAAAGTCCTACAACTCCCAGTGTTCCCAGGTAGTGCAACTGGCTGGGGAAGGACTTCTGGTGTAAACCAGTGGTCTCCAAATGCTGCTGCTCCTTTCCTCTTGGGTGACAAACCCTAGGGCTCCATGCCTGTTTGTCTGCATTACGTCTATCGCTGTACTGCAAATTTAAAACAACCAATCACTGCCCCCGGGACCTTTCCAGTGCCCCCAGGGGGGGTGGCACTGCCCACTTTGGGAATCACGAGTATTAAGAACAGGATTACACCTTTAATCTTGGTCTGGCTCCACTATATTTTTGTGCTGATTTCAATTTAGTTCTGTATTCTAGACTAAGGTTGAAATGTGTGATCTCTGAAAATAATGTTGTGTTGCACTATTTCTAGTTCAACTAGGGGTGTTCAATGGGCAAAGTGTGGTGAATGACAGGGGTGTGAAACATAGGTGCTTGTTTGTTTTAACATAGGATTCTCTGCAGACAGGAGCAACTTCTCTGGCAACATAATATTTGGGGCTGGGCTTAAGGGGCAGGGAGAAGGATGGCAGAGGAAAGGCAAGTCGTTGGGATGTCAGTCCTCAAAGAAAGTGAAGCTCAAAATCCTCAGAGATATGGAGCACAAAGAGTACAAAGTACCCCCATTATCTGGCTCACTAAACTATTAAATTTGTATCTGTGACTACAATGCCCTCTTCCTCATCTGAACACTCTTTCAGTTACCAAATATGTAGAGTAGGTCTACAAAGTCAATGGGGCTAAATAGATTAAAATTCAATTAAGCCACCTTAAAAAAGGTCTACATCAAAAAACACATGTATTTATACATATGTATGAAAAAATACTGGTCACTTATTTAAAACTTGTTTCAGATTTGTTTCAAAGCATAATTTCTGAGGAAGTCATCTCTCAAAAAACATTTAAATGAGAAAAAAATCTTGGTTTCTATTAAAGAAGTAAAATACTTCAGGGAGCAGATCACTACACCAAAGAGTTCCTGTTCATTTCATTAGGTTAAGAATCGGGTCCTGGGTGGGTGGGTGGGTCTCTGTGTGTGTGTAGGTAGGTAGGTGAGCATGCAGGTGTATACACCTCATCAGTACAGATTTCTAGCATTTCATGCACCTGCTTAGCCTGGAAACGTTTGGTAGGAAATGTAGGATTCTCAACCTATTGGTTTTCCCTGATGAGCAATGAACATCCATGGTGAAGCAGCAGCAGCAGATGAGAAAGTGCTGGTACCCAAAGACCCTTATGAAAGGTACTTGTGTTTATTATGAGATTTGCTCCAATGACTTTGCATTAGTCACATGACCAATCATATTTTCACATGCAGAACTTTCTGAATTTTCTGTGTGGGGTTGAGGGAAGCACTTTATGCTTCCCTTCATCTCTCCCATTCAGGAAGTCACCGAGTTTTACTTTCATGGCTAGAATTAATTGCTTAATGATTAATGTTTTGCTAGCCAATCCCTCCCTTTGTGGTTTCTGATTAATGGCAGGGAGGCCAGAGAGTGCTCAGCAATGCTCCCAGGTATTCAAAGATAATTTATTATGCCTCCAGGATCTGTTTGTAATTTTACAGCACTTTAACCAACACAAAATGATTTACACCAGCCTTGTTAACCCTTTCCTCTTTCCCATTGTCTCCAGCCATGGGGAGCGGGGTGGATCTTAGGTTGTCTGGGAGACTCCAAACTGCCCCTTAATTTCTAACTTCTAAGGCCAAATTTTGCCTAGATCACTCATCTGAGCCTCAGGTGTTCTTCACAATGATTCTGAAATCAGTTAGCCCTAACTGAATTTTCTCAGAGGGAACTGTGTGTGAATTGCTTTACCTGGCCCATTCTAAGCAATCAACATGCAAATTCTGTGGGACCTTTTCATGGCATGTAAAACACAGACAAATAGAAGTGGGAAAAGTAAATAGTTTGGAAGGTTAATGAGAAAGTCATCCTGTATCTATCTATATATTCAGAGGTTTGGTTAATTAGATCTTTCAAGTCTGGCATCCCTTTCTGCTGTCACAAAAAAGGCAAGATTCATCAGAACCAAAGAACAGAAAATCTACAGTACAAGATCAAACTGTGAAGATTATAGCAAAAGTTAAGAACCCCTTTTAAAGCAAAAACAACAAAACTGGGTATTGACAGCAGGGTGCAGATAAGCTAGACTATGAAAACTTCATGTTTTTGTTTTGTGGTAAGTTCTCTTTCCACTGCCAAAAAAATCCTCTTTGATGGAAAATCCACATATATTGCTGGTACAAAGAAGCCAGTAAAGACTGATGGAATTTCATAGTAACCCTGCTTTATATCATCTGGATCACACCTGGCCAATCTCTGAACTTTTCAGGTGAGAAGGAATTTCAGCAGGTGCAGTTTGTCCCTCCAGTTTGAAGGCCAAGTCAAAATTCATATAACTTTTAAAGGTACAACTCCCTAGCCATTTTGCTGTGGATGGTGTCCAGAAGGCAAACCTATTTGCAGTTAACTTCCCTCTCTGCTATTGCTGAATATTATCAACTCCTGACTTGTACTTCTTCAGGTACATTTCCTTTTTTAAATGTCATGATTTCCCAACCAATGATTATGGCAATTATGATAAGATCGCAGGGAGTGATGAGGTAGATCAGAACAATTCAAGTAATCTCTATAAATCAAGCTTTATTGGAGAAGAATGGCAGAAGATTGAGCTTCCAAAAATGAGGAGATGCATCCTTAAAGAAGTGGGCAGTTCAGTAAAATTTGAATATGCTAATTTATATGTAGACCCAGGAAGGCTGGTGACCATTCTGTCAGTGGGGCTCCTCATCCTTTGCAACCTTTCTTTTGAACTGTATAGGAGCTATCAGTGGTACTGCATGGAGACAAACCTATTTCAGGGATGAAGTTCAGCCCCCTGGAAAGTTTCGTCAAAGCGCAAAAGAAGGATGAGGAGACTCATTGACACAGGAGTCCCAGCCTGTCCAGCATGTAACTGAACATTTCAGATTAAAGATAAGTACAATATATCTCACCATAGTGGGAAAATGTTACCAGGTTATTTACATGACAGCTCAGTCTGCTGTTCAGGTGCTGTTATTTTTTATTTATTTAATTATTTGTTGGTCTTTTTGTTTGCCTGCTCCTTGAGCCCGATCAAAGCCGAGCAGCCAATCAAATAGGGGAGCACACACAAAAAGCAGTACATCTTCACACAGCACACAGTGGAATCTGCATTGCTACTGTTTATTTGAAATGTTTCTATACCCCCTTTCTGGAAAAATCAGTCTAGGTGGTTTACAGAACAAAAATCACCATAATAAAAAACAAAAAATCCCAGATAAATACATACTATACTCTAAAAAGCAACCTTAAAAAGTTTAACAACATTTTTTTTTAAACCCAACCCCTTTCATGAGTGTCATGAGAGTGGAGACTGGATCTAGCTCCAGCAAGACTATGCTTCAGAGTCTGGGAGAGTCATGGGAGACTGTGGAAGTGGCTACTACATGGTGCAGAGATGGCCACCAACTTGGCCTTAGAAGGGATTTGGGAATTAATTCAGGGAGTAGCTAATTAATCAACAGCTACTACTATATATTGCTTCTAGGATCAGAGGCAGCATGCCTCTCAATACCACTTACTAGGGAAATAAACTGTCTATTGCCATCGTCTCCTGTTTCTAGACATATGGACACTGCAGCAAACTGGACTGGAGAAGCTAGAGAAAGGCCTGATCCAGCATGGAGCATCTGACATAGGAAATGTCTGGATGCATCATCTGATAGCAGAGTTTGCAGCTATAATGTTTTGGCTTTTTAAGTAACTGTTAATCCCAAGGACAAATATAACTAGAGCTCATTGAAAGGCTATGCATATTATTTGGACACACATCTTTCTTTTTTCTTTAGAAAAAAAGGCCACTAGAAATGCTGTGGTCTCACATCTTGCTATTGACAC